GAGAGAAGAGACAGAGAGAGAAACAGAAACAGAAGAAACAGAGAGAAAAGAGACGGAAGATACAGAAGAGACAACAGATCTAACGGAAGAATATCTGGCTGATGCAAGGGCATATATTAACAAAAATGGTGTCTCTGACGAGAGAGAAGAGACAGAGAGAGAAACAGAAACAGAAGAAACAGAGAGAAAAGAGACGGAAGATACAGAAGAGACAACAGATCTAACGGAAGAATATCTGGCTGATGCAAGGGCATATATTAACAAAAATGGTGTCTCTGGCATTGGAGAATTTCTCAAAAAGAAACTTGATGAATGGAAAAACGTTAAAATAAGATTTGGCATAACAGGCGATAGTGGCACAGGAAAATCAACCTTTATCAACGCAATAAGAGGGTGATATTTTAATGCTTTTCCTTACCAAAAAACTGGACGGTACCATAGTTTTCATCCATATGCACACAGTACATTAGCTACTACGGAAAAAGAATAGACGGTACCATAGTTTTCATCCATATGCACACAGTACATTAGCTACTACGGAAAAAGAATAGAATTAGGAAAGGAAGAAAGTCAGAACAAAACCTACCTGTGTTTCCAAGGCTGTAAAATTACTGACTATGAAAACGATGCAGCAGAAGTAGGTGTGACTGAAACAACGAGAAAGCCAAAGGAATACACATATCCTGGCAAGCCAAAGATTACTCTCGTCGATCTACCCGGCATCGGTACGCCAAACTATCCTGATCTTCCAACCTACTGTGAAAAGGTTGACTTGGAGAAGTACGATACCTTCCTCATTTTCACTGCAGACCGCTTTACGCAATACGACTTGAAATTGGCAGAGAAAGTGAAATCCCTCGGAAAATCGTTTTTTCTTATCCGTACAAAGATTGATGAAGCCCTCAGGTCTCATCGAGGAAAAGCCCGTATTGACAAAGAAGCGACGTTGCGAAAAATTAGAATATATTGCATGGATAATGTGAAAGGCCTAATATCCAGTGAGAAAGAAATTTTCCTCATTGGTAATTATGATAAGGAAAAATGGGACTTCGATTGTCTGGTTAAAACAATCGGCAGAGCATTGCCCATTGTTCAAAGAGAAGGTTTAATACTGTCTCTATCAGATTTGACGCGTGGATGCTTAAATAGAAAGGCAATGTTTCTTAAAGGTTAGTGCCGTTTAATACTTCATTTTACTGTGTCTGTAAGTATGTCTTTGGTAGTTTGCATTCGAATGATTTAACCAGAAGATATTATTTCCTGTTATATTGTTATCTTGTTCTGCTTGTCTCTAAGCAAGATAAGTTAAAAACATCAAATAGTTTAATACGAACAGTTGCAGTACAGTGGCATGTCCAAGCACAAGTCGATTAAATTTTGTTCCAATTTGTATTAAAATTGGGTGAGAAATTTAACTGTGAGATAATTAAACGACGTGCAATGGTTTCTCCGCAGTCCACTCGACTCAGACCTTAGTTTGAGGCAGCATTTTCCTTGCGATAGTAACTCATAGTTTATGTGACAAAAACACAAAATTCAAGATGATATTTCAGGTCTAATCAAGAGGATTTAAATGTTTCCAAAGTGAGGTATATTGCAACTTGGACAAGTGGATTCATGATCGTGTACTAAACGGCGCTTTTTTGTTTTGTTTTGTTAAGTTCCGTTGGATTTTTAAATTAACCCTGTTACCAAAAAGTGATCACGTTTTCCTGCTGAAAACGAATCTATGAACTCAGATTCATTTATGTCGGATATATTAAACTGCTGTTTTTGCCGATATTCGTTGACTGAATATCTCTACAATCATTTTAAATTATGCGTTTTGGTTTTAACTGCTCTTATCTTCAATTTAGAAGATCATATCAGTTAGAGTATGTTTGCTTCTTATGTTTTGAAATTGTCTGGTGGTAAAATGTAGATTCTGATACTATTTTGAAATCAAACGTTTTCACATAATTAATATATAGAGAATGGTATATTTAACAGTTATTCTACGAACTCGAGTTGAATATGAGCTGATAGCCGACGAGGCGCGTAGCGCCGAATCGGCTATCGCTCATATTCAACGAGAGTGAGTGAAATAACTGTTTTATTGTATACACAAGGTCTGAATTCACAGACTTTGCTTTTCGGAAATTTTCAATATTTTTCTATTTTGTTTATGTTTTAATCTTCGCTCTTTCGGCCAATTAATTTTCAAAAATATAAATTTTTTATCATTTTAAAATTTTAAAATTGATTTTCCAACCTGTAAACAATTTGTGGGAGTTTTTTCATTGTGTTTTTAATCCTGTAAAGACTATAAAAAGCTAACAACTTGCCGTTTTCTCGCTCGCAAAACGTCGGATATTCAGTTTGAGCCGCCATTTCGTTTTTCTCTACTAGCAGGATATGAGCTAATATCCTGCTAGTAGAGAACCAATTTAATCAGATTGCAGAATACCTCATATCCAGACCTTGTGTATATAATAAAAAGGTACAGCATGATACTAATAAATTTATTATTTCTAGCTCGAGCTGTTGCAGTGGCAACCATTTCAGCGCGCAACGGTGTAATTCCTATTCCTCGATGGGGAGCAGTTCTTGACGCCAAGCTTATTAGAGATACAATCGAGGAGTATCACATACGATTAGGTCTCCACGATATAACGTCCGATACGTTTGAGGAATTTAATAAATACGAGAAGGTTCTTCAAATCTACAAGTTTCAATCAGATGAGGAGTTGCTTTTGTCACTGAACTCCGAGGCGCATGGATTACGTAAGGTTCAAGAAGTCTCCAAGTATATTCCAATATTAGGAACACTAATCGCAGGCAGTATATCATTTGTTTTGATGTCGCGTTACCTCGAACGCTGTGTGGACGAACTGGAAGTAGTGGCCTTGGCTGTCTGGGACGACGCTGCGAAACGATCAACTGAGAATGATTCAGAAACAAGCACAAATAATTCAGATACACATTGATATGAATAAACGGATGTGAACTTCTTCCAATATTGGAAGAAATTATCTCATTATGGAAGACATTATTCAGGATTTATTTTAACATTGAGAATGAAAAACTGTAAAACGACTTTATACAGTTCAAACGTATTTATCTAAAGGCAGTCTTTCAGAAATCTTTGTATAGGAACAATTCTAAGTGATCTGCATGTACATAATTATGCCATATATAACCTATGCCACATAACTGCAATATGCAGCCATATTGGAGGTCGGGAATAAATTATACTAGTCGATTATTTTGTGCACATATCCTTTGCACAAAACGCGGATATGATTTATAAAGGCACCATAAACATTTTTGAATTAAACTATATCCACGTCTTATCCTTTTGGAAAAACCACGAAAATTACTTCTAAATGACGTTTAACGAGAACGTAAGCCAACCGTCCGTCGGCTCGCCATCCGTATCCGCTTTTATCCTAACCCGTTTATACGACGAATTCTCTCGGACTCAAATGTTTTCAGGTGCAACCTGTTGATTGGATTTGCCGCTACGTGTGGTGACAGCAACATAAGCCCGCTACCAAAAACAGTACACGATAAATCTGATATTTTCCTCCAGAGTAAAATTAACGGATTAACAATAACTCAACTGCCTAGGATTGGTTAAAACCAAACTTACAGCCAACACCCCAAGGTTTCATCTACCCAACTAACCTTTATATTTAAATGTTAGAATTAAAGTACGAATTTGTGCATGGTTTAATTAATTAACTTTAAATTAAAATCCATTATTAAAAACCACAGGTTTTTCTATAGGATGACTATTTAGCACCATTGGAATTATTGGGGAAAGCCCAAAATCAAACAGAAACCAAAAAATCTCACATAGCTTTTCGGACAAGCATCGTTTTGTCATATACATAAAGAATATTGCTCGTTTACACAAAATATTCCACATACATGAGGAATCCAACTGCAAAGGTGTGTGGTTTTTTATTAACAACAATCCAAAATCTTTTTCAGAAGAGACAACAGTTCGAAGTGAAGAGTACCCGCATGACAGAAAGGCATACAATAGAGAAAGCTATGATTATGACATTGGAAAATTTCTCAAGAAAAAACTTGGTGGATCGAAAGAAGTGAAAATAAGATTTGGCATAACAGGAGATAGCGGAACTGGGAAATCAGCATTTATCAACGCAATGAGAGGGTGATACTTTTGAAAAATGTTTTAAAATTATATTTTACTTTTCATGCATAAATCAGATATAAAGAAAGGAAGGAAGGAAAGAAGGAAAAAATTATGAGAAAGGAAGGTAAACAACATAGTTACGAGAGATAATGCTTCACTACTATCTTTTATAGACTTAATGATGACGATGACGGTGCGGCAAAGGTAGATGTGATTGAAGCGACGACAAACCCAACGGAATACAAACATCCTGACAACCCAATGATTACCTTTGTAGATCTACCTGGCATTGGTACACCGAACTATCCTGATCTTCCAACCTACTGTAGAAAGGTTAGTTTGGAAAATTACGACAGATATCTCATCTTCACTTCACTGCGTTTTACAAAATATGACTTGGAACTGGCAAAGAAAGTGAAATCTATTGGAAAGTCGTTTTTTCTTGTTCGCACCAAGATCGATGATGCATATAGAGCAGAGTCGAGAAAGCGAACATTTAATGAAAAAGAAATGTTGGAAAAAATTAAAAGATATTGCTTTGAAAATGTGAAAGATTTCATATCCAGTGAAAAAGACATCTTCCTTATTAGTAATTATGATAAAGAAAGATGGGACTTCTTCCGGCTGGTTGAAGCAATCGGTGACGCATAGTCCGTTCCTCAAGGTCTGTTACTACTCCTAATATACAAAGTGTTTCCATGGATCATAATAACACCGAATAAGAAACTCAAGATATCACATGTTTTCAGCGTGCTGATCAAAGTTCTGATCTGATGGTATCTCAACCTTGTTGATAATTATGACATCACCAAATAATTCCAAAATAATTCCACGTTTAGCATTAATACCGCTAATATAATACCAATAGACAACTTGCATGTTAGACTAATTTTATATCAAGGCAAAAAACTTAATTCCCCTAAAGAACTTATTAAAATTTAGTATAAAATTGCAAAATTTGGTTACGAAATGTTGTAAAATACGGAAAATATTATATAACCTTGCGAAGTTTGCATATTTTGTATATGTTTGTGAACGCGTGCGGAAATTGTTACCATTTCTGAATCGAATATGGTAACAATGTCCGCACGTAATATAAACATATAGAAAATTTTCAAAATTTGCAAGACTATACTTTCCAAGCTCTACAACATTTCGCAATCAAATTTTGCAATTTTACTAATTTCATTATGTCCTTTTTAGCTGTGATGTTTGATTCCCTTCTCTTTACTTAGATTGAAATTTAGTCTAACATGCAAGTTGTTCATTATATCAACAAATATTTATGTGACGCCGATTTCTTGTTTACGAAAGTGAAAATATAATTCTCATGCATCATTAGATATTCATAGCATTTCGGCCAATGACATGGTTTAATTTACATCACGTATATCTATCTGGATACCCCGTCTAGACCAGGACTTTAATTACTTCAAGTGGGAAGGGCTTTGAACAATAGGGAAATTGAGGCGTAAACAAAAGATTATGCAAATATATTTAATTGCTATGTTTAGAATTATTTCTAAATACAGTAAGTTGTATTTAGAAATTTATTCTAACTACACTTTATAGCTAACACTTCTCCTAAACGTTTGAAAACTACATAAATATAGGAAAACCAACTTTTTTACCAACTATCATAATAAACAGCGCTTTAAACACTATAATACAGCAACTTACCAGTAATGTTTACCGTGTATAAAATATATATTCACTTCGGCTCTTTCATTTTCCACCAGATAGCGCCTTATCGCATACCCAATCTGATATATCGTTTTTCGGATCCCCAACCTTGTCAGTCGAGCGACAATACTGTGCACAATGCTGTGCTCAACACTTTCTGGTTCTCGAAACCGCTTTTTCTTATATTATAAGAAGATACCATGCTCTTTTGCCAACAAAATTCATCTATTCACGACGAAAGCGAACTGAATGCTAATGTAATCGTTAATGCCCACGCTCACTTTTTTGAATATCTAATAATTTCATGCCTCATTGCCATGAAAGTCTAATGATGTGTGAGAAGCAATTTCAAATCCTCGTTAGTGTTTTAAACTTGGCTTCCAAATCCCCAGTGCCATGAACAATGGCTCGGCTACGCCTCTCCATTGTTCATGGCGCTTGTATTTAGAAACCACGTCTAAAACACTAACTCGGATTTGAAATATTACAACAAAGACGAACAACATTCACCTCGAATACTTTGGCATGACGTCAGGCAGGTTTAAAAGACATGCAACGAAACCATTTTGAATCTCGATATAGGTAATTGAATGGAAAATATAGAAAAAGAAAAGAAATTAAAAACGCAGTACTAATATATTTAGTGTATTCATAACATCACGAATTCATCAGTAGTCGCAAAAACCCCTAAAAATAGGGTAAAACTTTCGTTATTTACATAATATTATTTTAATATTATAAAGATTATCAAAAAAAAAACTCACGACATGTAGTAATTTCATTATTGCAGGAACTATTTGCATAGCAATTGAATTTAAAACACTACACAGTGTGAGAAACACAATACCAAACAAGATATGCTGCATGTGTACTGTATTACGATTGCATTAATGAAATGAAATGAAAGCAGATTTGTATACAGGTCTATGTTTATAAGTTAGATGGAGAAATCACAGTCCATGCCAAGCAACCGATATCTGAAGCAAAAAATGGAAATTATGTTAGAAAGACGCTATATTTCGTCATGCACATAATCCTATAGAATTGGCAAGGCGTGTCAGGTTAGGGTTGAGTTGTCAGACTCACGCAGATTAAGCTTTTGTGCTGAAACTTTCCCTTGCATTCCAACTCTTATTCAACTCTTGTTCTTGTTTGACTGAGCCATGAGACTTAACCGCTGGCTTGCATGCAATACCTCTACTGAGTGCAACTCTTATTCTCGTTTGATCACACTCTTTAAGGAAACTCTTGTGAAACCTCGCTTGTTAATTGTTCATGCTTAGAGTTTCCCTGTATGAAAGAAATTTCCATTATATACCCCTTGATACTGTGGACAAAAGCCGACTTCCCAGGACTACTTAATTGATCCTACTAAAGTAAAACAATCTAATGACAAGGTTTAAAACAACTTCGCTCGAGACCTCGTTCCCAGACTACTTTCGTGAAACCTGGTTATTCGTTGACTCGCCACGAGATTTTGGGCAGAAGGGGATCGTACAGTACTTGCTTATACTAACTACGTTACCATGCAATAGATGATTCCAGCTATCGCCTAATTTTTATCAAGACAAGGACGAAATCCGTATCATTATAACTCAAAGAGCATCCTAAAATTAGTAAAATTGCAAAGTTTGGTTGCGAAATGTTGTAAAATACGGAAAATATAGCCCTGTGAAATTAGCAAATTTTGAATATTTTAGTATTACGCACGCGGGAAAATACATCACTTTTGAACTTATAAAAGTTCCACCTATTCTTTTTTGAGAACAAGTAAAGTCCAGACACAGCACTAAAATGCGGTTTCCGCCTGCAAACTGTACTTAGAGTAAAGGTTATAGGCCTATTTAGTCGGCAGTTGTTCCGTATCAAGGATCAAAAGTACTGCATTTTTAATTAGTTCAATAACAATTTTGAGCGATTTGTCAACAATACAATTTTGCTTGTCTTTCAAAGGCCATAAATCGCTAGAATAGTACGTGCTGTTTAGGAATGAATTTAGCATCCATAAGTGTAATCTCGTACGCTGGTATTGTACGGTAATGGTATTAGTAATGGTATTTTGTCCTTTTTCGGTGCATAAAACCAGTGATAGTCGGTCTTGAGAGTCCAAGATTAAATTTTCCGCAAAAAAGGAAGTTCAGAAAACGTGCAAGGATTTTTTCTAGGCAGTTATAACGACGCATTTCTTTACGAACAATTTCCTCACCCAAAAACTCGTCTTCTACGTATTGTATGCAGGCTATGGCAGGCTATAAGGCGGTGCCACACTTAGCACGGACACGGCAATTTTGCAACAGGGGACAGGTGACAATTAACTCTTCAATTGGCCATATGATTGTAGCACCATCTAACATGCGTATCACTTGACCGTCTTGTTCACAAAAGAATGGCATGCATGATCAGTTGTGAAAAGCAGGGATGACGTGTTGAGATCACATACGAGCGGTAAACTTTAAGGCGAGCCGCCGCGTTGTACGTCTCTAAGAGAATCAGAGAAAATATTCGCTAACCGTTAAAGAACTAAATTTTAAGCAATTGGACGAATTTTAAGCAGATGGCGACATCAAACTTTCAGGAAGTAAATGTGGACGACGTAGACATAGCTACCAGCTTGGAAACCTCAGAAGACAGCAAAACTAAACTGAAAATTGCTTTAGTTGGCGAAACCGGAAGTGGGAAATCAAGCTTTATTAACGCCTTGCAAGGGTATGTAATTTAATTTACTATAACTAATAGCAATTTAGGCTCAGTAAAAGTTTCATTGTAGCCTGTTTGGCTCGGATTTTGACACGTCGTTTTCATCTCTTAGCTAAAATCGAAAGACCACACCATGCAGACCCCCGATCTGTCTTGAAAAGTCTGCATGGTTTCCTTTTAACGGCCAAGTGTCTCTTAATAATTCTAGTGGTACCGATAATTAGTATTTTAAAATAATTTTGTACGTAAATTAAGCCCCCCTATTCTAACATTACATTTTGTTAGTGATTTAAATATTAGTTTTACTTTCGCTTTAATTGGCTTCGCACAGAAATATCGAAGCGTTACGAACCTATCGGTCCAACAAATTTTTCAACAGAACTGCTTCCAGCTTCTAGCATATACGCGAAAGGCTTCAAACTACTAAGGCCAAGAAAGAAATTTAGGTAGCTTAAGAACACCTCGAATTTTCGATACGCAACGGGTTGCTTTAACTGGAATTAATTTAAATACACTATACACGGTTTCAAAGAAAGCAGGTTGTATAAAGACTTCCCGTAGCTGTCGTTTCACACAGGCACACTGTAAATTTCAAAGAGTGCAATCAATTTGAAAAGTTTCATTCTGTGACCAAAACCGGTCAAAAACTATAACAAAACATACAGTTTTGGAGTTGATCAGACTTCTTAAAATTTACAGTGCATGCATGCATGCAATTCATATGTAAATCACTATACATACATGGATGTTTGGCTCTGACAAACGTTTGCTATTTTATGATCATAAAATCTTATGATCATATACATATATATATACATATATGATCATATACATATATATATACATATATATATATATATATATATATATATATATATATATATATATATATATATATATATATATATATATATATATATATATTCATTCATGAATATATATATATATATATATATATATGGGGTTATGTGCGCACTATAGTAGCTATGCTAGTTATTTTTATGTATCCATAATCTATGTATAAATCCGCGCTCAAGTGTACTTGCCCCAAAATAAACCAATCAAGTCAATGTGTCAAAGCAGAGCCAAAACGTTTTATGAAAAATCACCACTGAACTTTTCTACTATATTTATGAATGTTGTTTTGTTCGACTGATGTTCAGATCTCGAGCTAAACTTGATAAATAACATCAAAATTATTCCTGACACAAAAGAATGGCATGCATGATCAGTTCTGAAAAAGTATGGTATGAGAAACATTTTGTGGGAACAGTGTTTACTTTAAGCGAATCAAAAGCGTTCAGCGCGACAGCATGCATTTGTGCTTCTCAAAGGAAGAAAATATTCGACAACCGCTAAAGAGCTAAATTTTAAATTAAGTAGCCTGGACAAAGATGGCGACATCAAACTTTCAGGAAATAAATATGGACGACGTAGAAGTAGCTACCAGCTCGAAAACTTCAGAAGACAGCAGAACTAAACTGAAAATTGCTTTAGTTGGCGAAACAGGAAGTGGGAAATCAACTTTTATTAATGCCATACAGGGGTATATACTTCAATTTATACATAATATACGTCTAACTATAATAGCAATTTAGGCTCAGTAAAAGTTTCATTGCAGCCAAACAGTTCGGATTCTGACACGTCGCTTTCATCACTACAGTAGTAAAAGCGAAAAACCTGCACCAAACTGCTTCTCTCAGCTGTCTTTCGAAAAGTGTACATAGTTTTCTTTTAACGGCTAAGTATCTCTTAATAATTCTTGTGGTATACCGATAATTAGTGTTTTTAAATAATTTTGTAATTTATTTAAATATTAGTTTTACTTTCGCTTTGGCTTCGTTCAGAAATATCGAAGCGTTATATACGAACTTATGTAGAACAAACTTTTTAACAGAACTTCTAGCATGCGAAAGGCTTCAAACTACTAAGGCCATGAAGAAATTTAGGCAGTTTAAGAACATATCTCCAATTTTCGATATGCAACGGGTTGCTTTTAATTGAAATTAATTAAAATACACTACATGGGGCTTCGAAGAAAGCAGGTCATGTGTGTAAACTTCCTGTAGCTGTCGTTTCACACAGGCACACTGTAAATTTCAAAAAGTGTAATCAATTTGAAAAGTTTTATTCTGTCACCAAAACCGGTCAAAAACGACAACAAAACAACAGTTTTGGAGTTGGTCAGACGTAAATTTACAGTGCATATATACAGTCACGCAATTTATATGTAAATCACTACACTGTACATAGGCCTACATGAATGTTTGTATCCGACCAATTTTTGCTATTTTATGATCATAAAATCTTCGTATTTGAATGAATATATATATTTTTTGTCAAATTATGCTCTTGATTGTTTGGAAGAATCCAAAAAACCGCTGGCTATAGGTTGTTGTGTTAGGGTAAGATTATATACGGTTATGTGCCCACTATAGTAGCTATATTAGTTATTTTTACTTTTGCATATTTATTATATAAAGTATAGTGCTTTATAGAGATTTCGAGCACTGATAAAAGTGATAATCTCACATGTGAGATTATTCATGATAATCTCACATGTGAAAATGATCGCTTTTCAATTATCGCTTTTCTGTAAAAATTATCGCTTTTCAAAGACTGTCCTTTATATAATAAACAGAAAAATACATGGGTCCTTGGAAATACCAGATTTATTTCTCGTGTTGAGCATGATATCTCACTCGTTCGCTGCGCTCACTCGTGGGATATCATGTTCAACACTCGAAATAAATCTGGTATTTCCGCGCACTCATGTATTATTCTCTATCTAATCTACATGTATAAATCCGCGCTCAAGTGTACTTGCCCAAAAATAAACCAATCAAGTAATACAATTATTTTAAAAAATCACCACTGAACGTTTCTACTATATTTAAGAGTGATGTTCAGATCTCGATCTAAACTTGATATGTATCAAAATTATTCCCGACACAAAAGAGTGTGTCAGTTCTGAAAAAACATGGTATGAGAAACATTTTGTGATTACCGGATAGTTTTCTCAGTGATGTACACCATCCAGTTAATGGGCTCCCTAGCTTTCAAGAAATTTTAGAAAATGATGTTTTGAAAATATTTCATGGTTTAGGGCCCAATAAGGCATCGGGAATTGATGGTATCTCCTCTCGTATCTTAAAACTTTCGGCAGCAGTTATTTCACCATCCCTAACATCAATATTCAACCAGTCAATCTTAACAGACATATTTCCCAATGATTGGAAAATCGCTAGAATTACTCCGATCTTTAAGTCTGAAGCTAAAGATGAAATGACAAACTACAGACCAATATCCGTTATATCAGTAGTTGCCAAAATTGCGGAAAAGCTGATTTATAACCAAATCTATAATTATTTACATGACTATAATCTGCTTTCAAACTCCCAACACGGATTTAGACCACTTCACTCAACTGTTACAGCATTACTGGACATAACCAACGAGTGGTATACAAATATTGACATTGGGAAACTAAATGGGATTGTGTTTCTGGATCTGAAAAAAGCATTCGATACTGTCGACCACAATATACTCTTAGACAAAATAGCAACTTATGGAATAAAGGGAACGGCACATCGCTGGCTGGAGTTGTATTTATATCATATAGGACCCAGTGCTGTTGTGTGAATGGCAAACTATCAAGTCCATCAATTATGAAAACAGGCATACCTCAGAGTTCTGGTTTAGGCCCATATGTTATTTCTATTTACATCAATGATTTACCAAAATGTTTAAACGCCGGAACAAAACCAGATATGTTTGCGGATGATACCCAAATTGCAACATCAAGTGACGATATCAAAGTAATCACTGAAACATTAAATAGAGATTTAAACAATGTTGCAAATTGGCTGTCCGCAAACAAATCAACTCTGAACAATAGTAAAACCGAATGTATGATAATTGGTTCCAAAAAAAGGCTTAGTCAAGTGACTGCCGATCCTGCTATCAGTGTAGGTAACTTAGAAATTAAGAGAGTTGAAATGACAAAATCATTGGGCCTAATGATAGACGAGTCTTTAGACTGGACCGCGCAGGTCGAACACATTTCAAAAAAGGTCACCCCAGGCCTTGCTATTCTCAGACGACTCCGGGATACAGTCGAATTCAATACCTTAATAACAATATACCAATCCATAATTCAACCTTATTTCGGTTATTGTGCTCAAGTGTGGGGTTACTTAGGGAAAACATTGGCAGCTAAAGTTCAAAAATTACAAAACAGAGCGTTTCGAATAATCACTCGTGAGAATTATACGACACGATCGGCTGATATATTAAACAAGCTAGGAGTTCCGAGTACCTCGAAAAAAGAATGCAACAACTTTCAATTCTCATGTACAAGGTGAAAAAAAAATTGGTCCCCGATTACTTGTATGATATGTTCACAAATGTGGGTAATGTACACGACCATAACACAAGACAGTCGGGAGCCGATTTGACATTGCCTAAACCAAAAACAAATAGTATGAAAAATGCATTCTCCTACAGAGGTGCGGAAGTCTGGAACTGCTTTTCTGCATCGGCAAAAGCATCAACAACTATTGTTAATTTTAAGTCTAACTTGAAGCATGCAAATTAACATCAAGTGATTCTGCCATTGTTTCCATCTACCTAAAATAATTTTCATGTAATTATTTCTTATTTCTGCTTGTGTGAGCACGGCCGGTTGGAAGATCACCTTTTTTTTCTTTTTATATTTTGTACATAATTAATTTTAGTATAGATGAAATTGTACCGTGTTGAAATATAGTTCATAATAATAATAATAATAGGCTTAAACGGCACTAATGACGATTTTGCCTAACTATTAACAATTATATGCGGAATTATCAAGGTCGAGGTAAGCGTCATCAGCCGAGCCGAAGGCGAGGCTGATAACGCTTACCGCGAGACCTTGATAATTTTGCATATCGCAAAAACCGAATTCAACAATTGTTTTATTGTACATTTGAAGAATAATAAACATAGTATTAAAATACTATGTTTATTATTCTTCAAATGTACAATAAAACAATTATTGAATTCGGTTTTTGCGATATGCAAAATTATCAAGGTCTCGGTAAGCGTTATATTCAATATGATTTCTGGCAAAGCTGTTCAAGTAAAACGTTTCTATAAACAAGTCTCCGGAAGTCCAGCAGTTAAATTAATTACAAATATAAAAGAAACATATTATCGTTAAGATGTTAACGTATTAAAATATTTACTTGTTAAAGTAAGCATTACAATTATGAAATGTACATTCATTTGAAAATTGAAATGTACACTCATTTGAAATGTACACTCATTCAATTTCACGCAACCTACACAAAATTCAGTTATCTGCTAGCAGATAACCGAGTTATCTGCTAGCAGATAACTGAATTTTGTGTAGGTTGCGTGATTTAACTGTAAGCTCTTAGCCAATCAAATTGCTTTTACCAACTACAATGTATAATAATTAATCTAATCTACCAACCCTGCTGAAATCATCATTCATCAGTGAGTTATCCGCCATTTTGGATTATTGTGGATATGCATGTTGCGTCACAAGCAGGGTCATGCAAAATATTATATATAAAACACCCTATCCGATTTTTCATTCCTTGCTTAGTTCTTGAAATATTTTTGGAAAATTGCCTTGTTCGCTATTTTGGATTAATTTTTGATCTTGTCAACGGTTGTTTTGGTGACATCTCCAAAGACCAAGAGGAACAAATAACAATTAGTAGATGATTGATTTTGGTATTTGGTATAATAAGTATGATTTTGGGTTCGTAATGATCATTGCACATCTGGGTATTATGTAGTGTTTAAAACACGAGGAGTGTTAGATCATATTTAAAACACGAAGCGCAGCCGACCGTTTTAGATATGATAAAACGCGAGTTGAGTATTTTGAATAGCTTAATTAAAATACGACTACAAAAGAATACTAATTAGGATGAACAATTATATAATCATACTAATTATGATAAAAAAATTATGATAAAACTCATTAATAATTCATGACGAAAATTCAAAAGAAATGAACGTTTAATTAATCAATGTTTGCAAATCGCAAAAAGATTTGTCCTGATTTACATAAATCTCAGCTTTGATTTTCTCGGCTTAGACAATGTTTATTTTTAAAATTACTTCGCCAATGAACTCATAAATTGGGTCGTTTTATAAGCACGATAAAACATTCGCATCCGATCTTTATCTGATATAAAAACTCGAAGGCGAGAGTTTGTACAGGGTGTCTAAAAAAAAACGCTATGGAAATTCAACAGACTGACGTGCATCATAAACGTAGCTAAACAATCCAATTTTTACATAGGACGAAAGAACAGTTATTTACCTTTTCAATGATACTCCTTTTAGATCGTAACGATGAGAAATGGCCACATACTCGTCAAATAAAAATTTCCGGTCGAAATCACATTCTTCCACCGTTGAGAAATGCATGGAAAACGAAACGTAAACAATTCCCAAAAGGGAATTAAAATTGAATTTAAATAATCTAAAATAAGCCCAACTCCTCAATCTTCATCTTAGTGAGACCATAAGAACGTCCATTATTGCAATAAACATGGTTCAATTAACCCCTGAACAGAGAACATTCGTAATCAAAACGTTTTACGAAACATGTACCTTTCAGCAGACTCGCGGTGCTTTTGGATTGATTAACTTTGCATAATTAATGTATTTTTAATTTCCAACGACCGAAGAATGTGATTTCGACCAAAAATTTTTATTTGACGAGTATGTGGTCATTTCTCATCGTTACAGTTTAAGAAATATATCATAGAAAAGCTAAATAACAGCTCTTTTGTCCTATGTAAAAATTGAATTGTTTAGTTAAGTTTGTGATGCACAACAGCTGTTGAATTTTCATAGCGTTGATTTTTTATATATATATATATACTGAATATATATATATGAATATATATATATATATATGAATATATATATATATATATATATATATATATATATATATATATATATATATATATATATATATATATATATATATATATATATATATATATAAAGATCGGCTGCTTATGTTTTATCTAGTACAGAAAGAATAGTAAAATGAAGATGAGTTTTATCAGATATAAAGTCACTCCACGTGACATATTATGGCTGACATGATTTGCCACAAGGTTCATGAATTTTTAATGAGTATTTTAAATTTAATTTTGAACGTTCAATAACCAATGAGATAATTTTTAGTGTCTTTAATTCAGTATATTTAATTCCGTTTCAAATAGTTTTGAAGACGATGATAAAGGCGCTGCTGGAACGGGCTATGATGAGAAGGCAATCATGGCCAAACCTTACCCCCATCCCCTTAACCCGAACGTAATACTATGGGATATTCCAGGACTGGATACTCTCAAACATTCCGAACCCAGTACCTACTGCAATACATTTTATATCGGGCAATACGACGCAGTTCTTTTATTTATGAAAGGAAACTACACAAAAACCGATAAAGATTTGGCAAAAGAACTCGTGTCGAGAAACAAGCCGTTTTTCCTAATCAGGACCAAGATTGATCAAGATCTATCCTGCCGTAGAAAAAAATACAAGGAAAACGAGATCCTGGAAAAAATCAAACAAAACGCTCTGGAAATTTTAGGAGACCTAGGTGATACTGATGGTGAGAAAAAGCTCTTTCTCATCAGCAATTTTGAAAGTGAAAAATGGGATTTTAATCGCCTCAAAAGAGCAATTTTAAACGAGTTGCTGCCATCTCAAGTCAAAACGACATCGGTCAGTGAAAACGTAGCAGAGCATATAGATGAACAAATCAAAGGCACTGACAAAGGTAAGACAATGTCATAATGTTGGCGTGTTGTTATTTGCAAGAAACAATACTTAATTCTTTTTAGCTGCGAAGTTAAAGAGGCTGTCAAGTCCGTTCTGCTCACGCGCGTGTTTTGTTTACATTTTTTGTGATAATTTAATTAAAATTAGCTCATTACGCATTCAGAATATATCACGAAGGAGAAATTGAACTACTGAAGCAAAAATTTAGCCCCCAAACAACAAATTTTAGATCGAAAACGCTAAGACGCACTTCTTACAGAGGTATGGACAAAATTTGATGGAAATTTGTATACATTCAGCTCCAAAATGACAAATTTAAGATTGAAAATTTAAGGTTGAAAATTATATAGATGTATTTCTTAACATTTTCAATTTTGAATTTGTCATTTTGGAGCTGAATGTGTACAAATTTCAATCAAATTTTGTCCATACCTCTGTAAGAAGTGCTTCTTAGCATTTTCGATGAAAATTTGTTGTTTTGGGGCTAAATTTTTGCTTCAGTAGTTCAATTTCTCCTTCGTGATATATTCTGAATGCGTAATGAGCTAACTTGGGCTAACTAGACCCAAGGGTCGGAATTTTAATTATATTATCACAAAAAGTGTAAACAAAACACGCGCATGAGCAGAACGGACTTGACAGCCTCTTTAATTATTTATATACTAGAATTACAAATTGTAAGTGAAATGCTGCGACCAAATACTGGAAGTTCCTGTGTCTCCCATAGACAATCCAGAAGACAGGGACTGGAAACGCCTAATGTTTTGCGCGTGCCATCCGTGATGTGCTTGCGTGACGCTTGTGCCAATCATGCCATGTGAGTGATCATGAATTACTGAATGGCGCCTGTACATGTTGCTTCGAAAAAAAATAAAGAGATAGATTGTGGACTGGTACTTGTCTGCTGTTTTACAGCTCTTTATATACTGGAAAATTGTTTAAATAATCTACACCGAAAAGGAAGTTAGGTATATCACATTGTGTGTAAAGTTTATAAAACGGATCTGCTAATATTCAGAGACGAGTGCAGAGAATTTTCGAGCTTGTTCGAAAATTTTGATTTCCAATTTGGGGTGGACTTTCAGGCACGATTCAGGTTTGTTTGCGTATTTTCGTTTACTTTAGTTAAGTTTACGTATATTTATTCAATTTTGCTTCACTGTAATTACGTTATATAAATTGATTGAAGTTATCTTTTTGAAGTTTTCCTTGATCTATATTTTAAAATTTGAATTTGGCAATTTCGGTTTTTAAATTAATATACCTTCCATTTTTAATATTGACAACAAATCCTTTCTTTCTCGAAAACCATTTTTGCTAAGGCATCCATTATCGAGGGTCTCCCAGGGGGGTACTTGTTCCTGTGTTCCCTTCAAAATTTTCGCTTTGTTCCCTTGTTCCTTCCAAAATTTAACCATGCTCCCTTGTTCCCCTTTATAAATTAAATTTTGTTTCGTTATTCAGAAAATTTGACAGTTTATCGTCGCTATCATCCATTATATTAATACATACGTTCACTTTAACAAAATTAAACGGAAAAATACAATCACAAGCCTGCAGATGTTGCCCATTTGAAAAATACAATACTGAAGAAGACTATAATGTTAGTTATTTGACTTCGTGGAAATATTGACAGTATTACTATTACATAACAAAAAATAGATCTAATGAGCAGCATTGCATTTATAGTTTCTTCAATTGTTCCAACGAATAAAGTACTAAAGTATCACCTTTACTAATCATAATATACAAAATCGTCAGTAACTTATGTGGTGTCTTTCTTGCACGTCTTGGCTTCGTATCTGTTGCACTTTCTTGGTCGATATCCTGGCGCTCTCTAATTTCTCTCGCCTCTTCAATCGTCACAGCATCAACAAATTCAATGATTCTCGACTGCTATCTTAGAAACTCATTCTCTGTCAGTTCAAGGTTGCTATCTCCTGCAAACGGTTTCCACTTGAGAACCAGGTATTTCTTTCGCATTGACCTTGACAACTCCTTCTTTTGTAAATATAAGTGGATTGAAAGGGTCACCTTCAAAAATGGTGGCTCTTGCTTTCTTTGTTGAAACACTAACGTTTTCTTGTAGATGGTAGATCATCATCCGCCCACAATTGGCGTACGAGGCAAGAAAAACAACGTCCCCAGTGGAATGAAGAATGTTGTGCGTGTTGGCATGGTGTGTGTCTGTTTGGGTACCATTTTCTGTAATTTTCGAGAATTCCAAAGGCTCGCTAGCTGGCTGTGCCAGGGCATAGAGATTTATCGGCAGAGTACCCGGATTGTCTTTAGTGCTCATGTTCCGCATGGTATTCTGTGGGACACTTTGACCATACTTCATGCGCCAGTCTCTCATTTGCTGCACTTGTGACTTTGTCAACTGTGCTGCTGAAGGTGGGGCCATCTTTGGTAGAGTTGAATACTTCAAGTCAGATTTGACTTGAAGTATTCAAGTGCTCCTTCATTGCTCGACTGAAGTGAAAGTCGAACTGCAACTGCATTGGCATATCACATGCCCTGCCCTTATCTCGAAGAAACAATTCTCGATTACCCGCGTTAAACGGCTTTAAGTTTGAACAACTTCAAAAGCTGTGGATCATACTTTTGAAGCAGACCTCGCATTTCTCCCAAAGATTCTTGTTTCGTCTTCCACAACGACTGAAGAAACGTTTCCTTGCGGACCTTGGCTCTGGGCATTTGTTCTAAGGAAGGCTTTGACTTGTTCTATGTATGCACTGACAATCGAAGTCATATACCTCTTCGATTCTGGTGACTGCTGCGTCGATTGTGAAGGGCGTTGCCGTTGGTATCTGCTTTTTCAGGTGCAAGCAAAATGTGACCGAGAAAAGTCATGATGGCTGCTCAAAAATCTGACTAGAGGAGAAACTTAACTTATCATCCTCAAGCAGCCCGTAGAACAGTCTACCACAAGTACACTAGCTGGTTGGACAAATTGGAGAAAACGATATATTATGCCCATTTTTCATCTACAATACATTAGGCCATTGTACCACTTGTATATATTCTAGGAAAGGGGCTTTGTTCCCCTGTTTCCCAATATATTTCGTGTTCCCTTGTTCCCTAATTTTGTTTTCCTTTGTTCCCGTGTTCCCATTGTAAAATTTACAGTGTTCCCTTGTTCCCCCAAAACCCCTGGGAGACCCTCATTATCTAAAAGAAATAAAAACAAGGTTTCAGTTATTTTAACGGTGAGTTTTGTATGTTTAACACTCTTAACTTTCGACAATGCCAACAAGAATGCCAATGGCAATGGCGACTTTTTTGCTGTCAAAAACATTACGCAATCATTAAAAAGTAGTTTTTACCTTTGTTTGACCCAATATAAGTTTAAAAACCGGAGAAATGCATCCACATGTCTATATTTGTTTTAAATATGTAAATTGCAAACCCTGAATGTTATTTAAACTGTAGTTGCAGGGTTCGAAGTTAGCCGGTACAAACTTTTCCGGACAACAACAAATGGCAATGGCGACTTTTTTACAGTCAAAAACATTACGTAAGCATTCAAAGGACGTTTTTGGCTTTGTTTGACCCGATATAAGTTTCAAAACGAGACAAGTCCATCCACAGGTCTATTTTTGTTCAAAATATGTAAATTACAAACTCTGAACTTTATTTAATTAAGCTATAGTTACATAGGGTTCGAAGTGGGGGCAACAGAAATGGCCATCTTCTAGTTGGCGCAAAAGTAATTTGGGCCGTCAAATTTTCAGTAATAAGTTACCAAATTGATATAAAAAATAGCCTATTCGATAGATTACAATCTTGTGATTACGCATACTTTGACCAAAAGGTACAAAAATAGTTTATTTTTCAGTTGCAGGGTTAGTTTTGCCAGCAAGTTTTCAGAATAATATGACAATAACAATTGCCGGCTAACGACATTCGTAATTGTGTCAATCAAATTCAGTAAATATTTTTGGGCGAATAAGTTACCAAATTGATATAAAAAATAGCCTATTCGATAGATTACAATCTTATGATTACACATACTTTCACCAAAGGGTACAAAAATAGTTTATTTTTCAGTTGCAGGGTTAGTTTTGCCAGCAAGTTTTCAGAATAATATGACAATAACAATTGCCGGCTAACGACATTCGTAAATCTGTCAATCAAATTTAGTAAACATTATTGGGCAAATAAATTACCAAATTGATATAAAAAATAGCCTATTCGATAGATTACAATCTTGTGATTACACATACTTTGACCATAAAGTAAAAAAATAGTTTATTTTTCAGTTGCAGGGTTAGTTTTGCCAGCAAGTTTTCAGAACAATATGACGATAACAATTGCCGGCTAACGACATTCGTAATTCTGTCAATCAAATTCAGTAAACATTTTTGGGCAAATAAGTTACCAAATTGATATAAAAAATAGCCTATTCGATAGATTACAATCTTGTGATTACACATACTTTGACCACAAAGTACAAAAATAGTTTATTTTTCAGTTGCAGGGTTAGTTTTGCCAGCAAGTTTTCAGAACAATACGACGATAACAATTGCCGGCTAACAACATTCGTAATTCTGTCAATCAAATTCAGTAAACATTTTTGGCTGAATATGATACCAAATTGATATAAAAAATAGCCTATTCGATAGATTACAATCTTGTGATTTCAAATGGCTTCATCGTCAAAGACAAAACAGGTTAAGTTTGTAGTTACAGGGTTAGTTTTGGCAGTATTTTCTGGAAATAATTGCTGCGTGCGCGATTTACCGATAGCACGATCCAAATTTTACATTTAGCATCACTATAAAATAGAAATAAATGAAAATTTGGACGTATCTACCTTTGTTAGTATAGCCGCGCCACGACTACGATCCCAAAATTCAGATAATACGCTTTTTTTACGATATATTTTGCATAAACTACACGCATTTGCCTTTGTTTTTATGTAAATTTAAAGACTTGTTACCGTGGTAACCAAGTAATTGGTACGTGACAGGCACATCACGGATGTCACGATTTGTCATCATATTTCTAGCTTG